ATGAGAGGATATATCAGAAATTGCAGCTATCAATTTGTCAGCTGTGAGTCTTAAAAAAGGGGGATGGTGATATAACTAGCTAAGCTGTGTTTTTTAATGCATTGAACCATAGGATTCAGATCACAGCCACGAATATATGAAGGTTTCATTTCTTGGCGATTTATGACTAATAATAACAATAAAATAGATGAATTGTAAATATAAAAAGACTAGAAAAAAAACATACTTTTTATTTAACTAGTGGTTATTTAGCTAATGCTTATATTAGTTTAGTAAGAGAATGAATACTATTACACTTAGTTCATAACTTCTTTTACAGATATTAATGAAAATGCAGACTTTTTAGAGATTTGGAAGGTAGAACCACCACCACTCATTGTAGAAGACTCAGCCAGGGGTTGGGTGACTGCAGGTGGTGACCTTCTGGGACCTACACTTGAGGTTAGTCATGTCTTCAGATCTGAAAGTCTTACCAAAGGCTTTAAAAGTCATGATTTTATTTGATTTATTGGTGGAAACCACTGGAACTAGAACCTTTAGAGATACATAATATTGTGCAGCAGTTAGATGACCAGGAAAAAAGATTGATAAGGAAATATTTATAAAGCCTATAATACTATACTTGTAAAAAAATATTAGTAGGAAATATATACATACTGTACAGATAAATACAAGGCTTTGGTGAAGTTTGAGTTTCATGGCTCCTACTGTGAACTAAACTTGTCATGGTCCACAGTAACACATCTCCAGATGTATGCCTATGTGTAAATATATATATATATATATATATATATATATATATATATATATATATATATATATATATATATATGTATGTGTGTGTGTGTATATATGTATATATATGTATATATATGTATATATATGTATATATATAATATGTATATAAATATATATATATATATAGATAGATAGATAGATATAGGTATATATGTATATATATAAATATATATAGATACAAAGTTACATATATATATAATTATATAGATACATACATACATATACATATATATATATATATATATATATATATATATATATATATATATATATATATATATTGACGTACTGATATATTTTTATATATATGTTTGTATGACAATCCTCCCTGACCTGGCCTCGAACCTAGGTCACTCCGGGTATGAGACCGGAGAGCCAGTACTAAACCAACCAGGCCACGCGACCCACTAAGAGGAGTGTGCAATTAGGATCTAACTAGCTCCATAGACATTACCTATCTACTCATACATGAGTAATGATAGCGAGGTTTTACACACACTCCCCGTGGGCACTCGGTGGAAATTGATTTAGAAATTCGAAACCGAAGTCAGATATCCTGAGGTATATATATGAAAGATGGAATAATGCAATGCCGCATTGATATATATATATAACAATCCTCCTTGACCTGGCCTCGAACCTAGGTCACTCTGGGTATGAGACCGTCGGGCCAGTACTAAACCAACCATGCCACGCGACCCACTAAAAGGAGTGTGCAACTAGGATCTAACTAGCTCCATAGACATTACCTATCTACTCATACGTGAGTAATGATAGCGAGGTTTTACACACACTCCCCGTGGGCACTCGGTGGAAATTGATTTAGAAATTTCGAAACCGAAGTCAGATATCCTGAGGTATATATATGAAAATGGAATAATGCAGTGCCGCATTGATATAGATATATAACAATCCTCCCTGACCTGGCCTCAAACCTAGGTCACTCCGGGTATGAGACCGTCGGGCCAGTACTAAACCAACCATGCCACGCGACCAACTAAAAGGAGTGTGCAACTAGGATCTAACTAGCTCCATAGACATTACCTATCTACTCATACATGAGTAATGATAGCGAGGTTTTACACACACTCCCCGTGGGCACTCGGTGGAAATTGATTTAGAAATTCGAAACCGAAGTCAGATATCCTGAGGTAATATATATGAAAGATGGAATAATGCAATGCCGCATTGATATAGATATATAACAATCCTCCTTGACCTGGCCTCGAACCTAGGTCACTCTGGGTATGAGACCGGAGGGCCAGTACTAAACCAACCATGCCACGCGACCTACTAAAAGGAGTGTGCAACTAGGATCTAACTAGCTCCATAGACATTACCTATCTACTCATAAATGAGTAATGATAGCAAGGTTTCATCAATGCGGCATTGCATTATTCCATCTTTCATATATGTTTGTATATATATAATATATAAATATATGTATGCACATAATATATATGTATATATATGTATGTATATATAAGTATGTATATATGTGTGTGTGTGCATGTGTGTACATGTGCATGTGTGTATGTGTGTGTGTGTATTATTCTAAATTTTATATATTTATTACATTAGATATATATGTACTACATTATATATATATATTGAAATATGTACATATATATATATATATATATATATATATATATATATATATATATATATATATATATATATATATATATTGATATAGATATTGATAAGATGAAATCAGATAAGGTCACAAGGACTGCAAATTGACTCCTTTGTGGCTCATAAATAGTAGAGCCATATATGTGCTAAGACATTCACAAAAAAAAAAAAAAATGATCACAGCATTTTCCTGGCTTTATCTGCATATATGTATATATGTCTATAAGTATGCATATGTATATATTTATGTTTATATGTATATATTATATTTATATATTTATGTTTATATGTATATCTTATATTTATATTTATGTTTATATGCATATATATGTATATATATCTGTATATACATATATAAATGTTTGTATGTATATATACATATATAAATGTTTGTATGTATATATACATATATAAATGTTTGTATGTATATATACATATATAAATGTTTGTATGTATATATACATATATAAATGTTTGTATGTATATATACATATATTGTATATATATATATATATATATATATATATATATATATATATATATATATATATATATATATATATATATATATATATATATATATATATATATATATATATATATATATATATATATATATATAAATTTATGTTTTATGATAAGGAAATAATTTTAATGCATGTTGTTTCAGAATCTTGGCTCCCTTGTAAAAATGCCATATGGTGTGGGGAACAGAATATGTTGAATTTTGCACCAAATATTTTCATCCTTCAATATCTGGATGCTTCAAATCAAACAACACCAGCAATTGCAAAGAAAGCTATTGACTACATGCAAAAAGGTAAAATTTGGCACCTGCATGAAAATATGTTCACCTATGTATGTGTACAACTGTTTAATGATTGGCCTATTTTGACTGTAATACTGTACATTGTTGTTAGAAAAGACATTCATATCAGGGAAATAATACTTATAATATCTTCTGGATAACCAGTTTGTCTATATATGTTTAGGATTGATAGTATATCTGTGGTATGATTGTCCTTTATGTGAATATCTATATATCTTGGTTATTTGATTTTTACAGAAGTGAATGTTATTTTTTGAATTTTACTTTTTATGTGTAAGAATGGCAATATCTATTATGGCTAGACAAACTATTTTCATGTTACATTCCTTCTTTCTTTGCTACTGTTACAGGTTATGAACAGGAGCTGCACTATCAACATTTTGATGGATCCTTCAGTGCCTTTGGATTCTCTGATGCATCAGGCTCAACATGGCTCACTGCTTTTGTCCTCAAGTCCTTTGCACAAGCTCGCCAATATATTCAGGTTTGTGGCTTTATTTTTTGTGTTTATTGTAGTTTGGGTTGTATAAGGACATCATCATCATCATCACAAGGGGCTAATACCTATGGGGGTGCATGGCCGCATCCACCCTTCGCTTCCAGCCTCGAGGGTCCCTCATGGTGAGTCATCAGGCAGGACCTTGGCCCATCTCTCTGCGACAGGTCTGGTTGAGCTGCCCATGCCATGACCGCCTAGGTCATCCCATGAGCCTCCACCCAGGATTGTCAAACAGAAAGACAATGGGCAGGGAAATGAGCTAGGTACCCATATAGCCTGAATTGGCAATCCAGGATTAAGTAACAGGTTCCATGCCAGTCTCACGATGTAGCTGTCGGTTGGACACATGGTCCTACCAACTGTACTCCATGATCCTATGAAGAGACTTGTTACAAAAGGCATCTAGACACCAGATAGCGTTCAGTTTTTGCTTCCATAGAGGAAAATGGGTAGTATCAAGGCCTTGAAGACTCATAGCTTAGTCCTTCTGTATAGGTACTGACATCTCCAAATATTCTTGTTGATTGAGTTCATGGCTCCAGCTGTCAGACCAATCCGTCTACTGACTTCTTGGTTTGACAGCCCTGAGTTATGGACTACGCTACAAAAGTATACAAATCTCTTTGCAAGCAAGGATCGGCTGAACGTGTTCCCCTATCAGGCCCCAAAGTCCTGAATCTTAATCTTGGTTCAGTAGACCACTAGGCCCAAGGGCTTTGCCTCATTGCTAAATGCATTGTGAGCTGCCACCAGTGACTGAAGAGACTCAGGATAGTAACATCGCGGGGCAAAGTCAAGGTCTGAGACCTTGATAAACCTTGTTGGAATTCCCTTAAGTCTCAGAATCTCTCATAGCGATTCTTGAGTCAAACATCTTAAGGCTAATGAAGGCTGCAATTAACCCACAACTGAACTCATAATGACATTCCACAATTACTCTAAATGCCAGGATACGATTCATTCCTGGACTTGCCAGGAATGAATCCAGACGTGCTCCGGACTGTGGTCTTAGAATAATGTGGGCAAAAACCTTGCCTGGTATACTAAGCAGTGTAATGTCATGGTAGTTGCAACAATTCCCTTTTCCCTTCCAGAGAGGAATGACCACGCCCATCAACAGGTCAAAGAGAATGGAACCAGACTGCTAGATGGCAGTCAAGTCTACATACAAGCAGTGAACCTTGCCACTGAACTGGGGGTGAATCTTGCCATAGGTTCACCCCCAGCTTTTAGCAGTTCAGCAAGGATGTCACATATGCCTGTGACTTTCCCACACTTCAGCTTGGAAATTGCCATCCTAACGTTAGTGTAGGAGGTTCCTTGCTGATGGGTAGGTCTGGCACAGGTATTGTGGTACCACTTGCATCCATGCTGTTGGTGGGTCTAGCTGGTACAACTGCTCAAAATACTCATATTGTTATACATAATATATATATATATATATATATATATATATATATATATATATATATATATATATATATTATATTCATATATATATATATATTTATATTCATATATATTATATATATATTTATATTCATATATATTATATATATATTTATATTCATATATATTATATATATATTTATATTCATATATATTATATATATATTTATATTCATATATATTATATATATTTATATTCATATATATTATATATATATTTATATTCATATATATTATATATATATTTATATTCATATATATTATATATATATTTATATTCATATATATTATATATATATTTATATTCATATATATTATATATATATTTATATTCATATATATTATATATATATTTATATTCATATATATTATATATATATTTATATTCATATATATTATATATATATTATATTCATATATATATATATATTTATATTCATATATATTATATATAAATTTATATTCATATCATATATATTATATATATATTTATATTCATATATATTATATATAAATTTATATTCATATATATTATATATATATTTATATTCATATATGTTATATATATATTTATATTCATATATATTATATATATATTTATATTCATATATATTATATATATATTTATATTCATATATATTATATATATATTTATATTCATATATATTATATATATATTTATATTCATATATATTATATATATATTTATATTCATATATATTATATATATATTTATATTCATATATATTATATATATATTTATATTCATATATATTATATATATATTTATATTCATATATATTATATAATATATATATTTATATTCATATATATTATATATATATTTATATTCATATATATTATATATATATTTATATTCATATATATTATATATATATTTATATTCATATATATTATATATATATTTATATTCATATATATTATATATATAGTCATATTCATATATATATTATATTTATCTATATTCATATATAATATATGTATTTATATTTATGTATATTATATATATTTACATTTATATGTATATATATATTTATGTATATATTATATATATTCATATATATATATATATATATATATATATATATATATATATATATATATGTGTGTGTGTGTGAAATGTATATATATATGAAATGTATATATATATATATATATATATATATTAGATTTATATACAGACATTCCCCAACTTATGAACATAATGGGGACCGAGAGGCTGTTCATAACTCAATTTGTTCTATATCCTAAGTCAGGTCTCCATTGCCTTTTTTTCCCATTATTTTAAAGTTTTGTTTACATCTTTCTCTTCACACCTGACATTTTTGATGGATTGATGCACAGGTAAGGCCAATTATGGCACAAAGATTGGGGGTATACAAAGACACAGTAAACAGATGCTTTTGTATTTATGGTGGGAGGGCAGGGAGTGATGCCACAGCTGAGTGAGCGCGGCAGCGCCACGGCGTGGCAGACTCGTGAACTATATTCACGCCCGGGAAATTTGCTAGCATCTTTCAAACAATTTTTTGGACCTAAGTATTAAAAAAAAAATGTATGTATGGAATGTTCGTAAGTAGAATGTTCTTAAGTAGGGGACTTTCTGTATATATATATATATACATATATATATATATATATATAAATGAACCAACAAAATTAAATTAACCCATTCACTGTGAGTTTACTTGTTTGATTGTTCCACAGCATAGATGGCTACACTTGTACTAAATCACCAATGAGCCAGTTACGAGTACTGCCTGCCTCGCCCGTTCACCCTTTACTTTGATTTACGAAAATATTTTACGTTATCTTATTTTGCTTTTACAAATGTTTATAACATTATAGTAATTATAATGTTTATAATAAAAATAACACCGTCAATATTCATAGCACAAGTAAAAAATACTTTTTCCCGCCAATTCAAGGAAAGGTGAAATCAGGTAAGGCAGAACCATCTATGGGCAGACATTTCACAAAAAATATAGAAAATCAGCACAGAATTTTCCCCATTTAAAAAAAAAAAAATCCCCGGCGGCAATGGGTTAAATATTATTAGTTAACCACATTTATATTTATTTATATTTACATATATATATATGTAATTATTTATATATATATATATATTATATATATATATATATTATATGTAATTATATTTATATATCATATATACCATATATATTTACATTGTATGTATATTTACATTTTATGTATTATATATATATTTATCTATATATAGATATATATATATGCATATATATAT